CGGCGTCGATGAAGGTGATTGTATAGTTGTATATTACTTGTCCTGGTTCCCGATTGAACAGGATGTCGCTGTACACCTTCTCGAGTGGTGCGTACGCGGGTGCGCTCGGGTTGTGATGAGACGCAAACGGTCGATGTGGTAAGTCACCTTCAGGGCAGGTGAAGCACGTTCCGCGTACTCGTTGAAGTTCTCGTCCGTCGGTCAGTAGGAGTGAGTCCTTGTCGAGTACTCCTGCTCTTATCGTATTGTTTAATACTGTGTTGCTTGGGTGTCCCATCCTTGCGTGCCAGGTGCTTTCGTCGGCGCGATGTCCGGGTGATCGTCGGTACATATCGGAGTTGGAGTAGAAGTTGGCGGTGAAGTTGGCGCTACGATGAACTTCTCGTGGTGCTGGGTGTAGTTGTTGCGCGGGTGTCGGTGGTGTGTCGTCGATGAGGAGCGGTGTCGTTGAAGGACCAGCAATTGGTGTTGACGTTCCTGCTGCTACCGTTGATGGTTCTGCTACTGCCGATGTTGTCTCTGCTGCTGCCGATGTTGTCTCTACTGCTGACGATGTTGTCTCTGCTGCTGCCGATGTTGTCTCTGCTACTGCCGGTGTTGTCTCTGCTGCTGCTGATGTTGTCTCTGCTGCTGCTGATGTTGTCTCTGCTGCTGCTGATGTTGTCTGAATTGTTGCTAACGCCCTTGTTCTTTCTGCTTCGGAGATGGTGTGTGAATACCAGAAGCCTTCTGGACTGAAGTCTGGATCAAGGTCTGGAGGGTGTGTCCAGTTGGTGAAGTTAACGATGGCTTCGCTGTCAGCGGTGCCAAGATCAGGAACGAAGTCAAGAACGAAGACGTTGTTCTTGAGGACCGCCTTGCCGATGTAGAGTCCTCCTCTCCCGTGATACAGCTTGAATTCTTGGGTGGTGCTGTCTGCTTTGAGGTGAATCCCTTTCGCCATTAGCTGACTAACGCTCAGTAAGTTGTAGCCGAGTCCCTCCACGATTAGTACTTTTGACATCTGCAGTATAACGTTTGTTTCCCTTGACTGAAGTTGAACTACGCCTTGTCGTCTTGTTCGCAGGTTCTGATTGTTGGCGACTGTAATGACAACTTCGCGTTGAAGTTCGTGTTCTCGTTGAACGAAGCGTCCCGAGGAGCACATGTGCTGTCCGCAGCAACTGTCCAAGAACCATGTCTCCTTTCCGGATGGTTCGCTTTGGGCGATGGCGGCGTATGCCGGGTTCGGCTGAAGTGACTCGCGGCGGGGTGTGGTTTCGTCGAGTTGTTCTTCCGGTGAGTAGTGTGGTGGTGACTCGGTGATGCAGGAGTCACTCAGCTTTGCCATGCAGCTGACGATGTTTCTTGCTCCTTGTGCAGGTTGTCCTGTTGAGGTCGTGGAGGCTTGAATCTGAGTCGTGGGATTTGCTTGCGTTGAGGCGATTTGGCTGCTTGAAGGTCGAAGTTGCCGCTATGGAGTTGTTGACTGTTGACGATTCGGGCAGTGCGTACGCGGGTGTCCTGAAGTTTTGCAGATGTGGCAGAACGGAGGTACTGGCTTCGGTTGTTGCTGCCGGTTGTTGTTGTTGTTGTAGCGTCGCTGAGTGTGGAACGCGAATTCCGGTGCTGATGTCTTCTTTTTGTGTCGTTCTTCTTGCAGATCCATGTCTTGCTGCTCGGCGTGGATTTCGGCGCAGAGCGCTGCTTCGGAGATTCTTCCGTGAGCTCGGAGAATGGCCTTTGTGGCGCGCCATTGAGGACCGAGGCCGCCGATGATGACTGTCACGAAGGCGTCTTCATAAATCGACCCTCCGCATCGAAGAAGCTTGTCGCGCAACTCGCGACATCGACTCATATACGCCATTCCTTTCTCCCCTGGTTTCATTTCAACCGTTGTCAGTTGCGCCATTAACCGACTTTGGCTTACACTGTCTGTTGCTTGATACATGCTCTTCAGGTGGTTGTACGCGAGCTCCGCGGAGTTGCCGTAACCTCGGTAAGACCTTATGTTCTGCTGTTGAGTCGGGGTGATATTCCTCAGTAGGATTGTGTACGCCATCATTGACTGATAGGTGTACTGCTGCTTCTCGTACTGTGTGCCGTTTGTTGGGTATGGCAGAGACCTGTCGAAGAACCCGAGTATCTGCGCGCCTTCCATCATCAGCTCGAACTCGAACGACCAGGTGAAGAAGTCCTTTCCATCGAAGGGTCTTGACGTCTGCATCTTCAGAACGTGTGCGAACTGCGACTGAACTTGTAATGCGTCCAGTGATTTTTCTTGTCCAGGTGAAGGCTGTGGGTGTGGCATAAAGCTGATGGACCCGCGCTCGTACGGAGCAAAGGTAGGCTGCTGTTGTTGATTTCCTCGTGCATATGATGAGCCGTTGAGACTCATGGGTGTTACTCCGTTGTTGTTGCTGTTGTGTGACTGCGTAGGTGCCGATTGCTGGTGTTGCTCGTAGAAGGACATGAAGGAGAAAAACTTCTCCATCATGCTCTGGTCGAAGTCTGCAGGTTGATTCGCGGGAGTCTCGTGTCGAAATATGTTATTCATATTTATATAATTGTCTGTAGTGTTAGTGTAGTTATGTTTCCCGTTTGGTGGTGCACCTCATTACCCTAGTTCTTGCCTATATCTTTGTACCTTTGCTCTTTATTGAACCTCTCTTCCCTCTCGCTACTCTCGACACCCTCACCTAGTTTCCTAGGTTCTAAGCTAATTATGACATGGTATTAAGAGCTAGGTCGTCCTAAGACCTAATTTCATTTTCCCCATGGGCCCACCACGTATCCCCCCGCTCACGGCGCTCATCACGCCCCCCGTCGCGACCGTTGTTACGACGGTTGCAACGGTCGCGACCGTCGAAACGATCTCGGCGGCGAGCTGCGCGAGAGCGTTTGCGGCCTCGGTTGCGACCGCTGCGGATTCGTCGCACCCTCGTCCGGCCCCCCTAAAATTTCCCCCCCCCGTCGCGGCCCTGCACGTCGGCAGCGTTGGTCGCTGTGAGGGGGAAGAAGGGGGGAAGGTTGTGGCGGCCAGGCTGCAGTAACCGCCAGCGCCCTGCCCCCGCTCGACCGTCCCTCCCTATTCTCCGCCGCATCTGCGGGCTTGTCGCACGCCCTGCCGCGGAAACTGCTGTTGGGGGAGATGGCAGGGGTGGATGGCGGGCGGGATCCGCAGCAGTGCCCGCGCCGCTCCTGTTCTTTGCCGCTGGGCCGTGCGTCCTGCTGTGGGGGGGAGGGTGAAGGCGTGGCGGGAGGGACTCTGCAGCGCTAGCCGTTGCCCACCTCCCCTGCTCTCTCCCTGCAGCGCCAGTCGCTGTGGGGGGGGAGGGTGAGGGGGTGGTGGGAGCGTGGCTTCAGCACCAGCCGCAGCCGCCTCCTCATTCCTCCTCTCTCCCTTCTGTTCTCTGTTTTCTGCGTTCTCTCGGCTCCTCCTCCTGCAGCCAGGCATCTGCTGCTGCCGCCCGCTGCTACTGTGGCACCTCCAGTTGTCGCCCCTGTCGCCACCTGCCCTGTTTTTTTTTGTTTTCTGCTGCTGGGGCCTGCAGGTGCTGCCGTCGAGCCGCTGCTGTCCTGCTGCACGTTGCAGCCACAGAGCCTGCTCCTCAGGCGACCTGCCGCCCCTACACTTGCTACTTTTTCTGCTTTGTGTTTCTGCTTTGGCTCAGGGTTGCTACAGCTGAATCTGCTACCACTGCACTGGTTGTCACTGCTCCTGCCTACTGCTGCTACTTCCGCTGCACTCTACATGGTGTACCCTCTTTAGGGGGCGTTACTACACTCACACCTGCAAACAATTATGGGGGTGTGTCGAAATATGTTATTCATATTTATATAATTGTCTGTAGTGTTAGTGTAGTTATGTTTCCCGTTTGGTGGTGCACCTCATTACCCTAGTTCTTGCCTATATCTTTGTACCTTGGCTCTTTATTGAACCTCTCTTCCCTCTCGCTACTCTCGACACCCTCACCTAGTTTCCTAGGTTCTAAGCTAATTATGACATCTCGGTAGATGTTGCTCTGGGTCTTGTTGCCGTGCCCTCCTCTGTCTGTAGGCCAGAGGCAGGAGGTGGAGTAGGAGTAGTGCCCTGGGAGCAGTTGGAGTTGCTCCTTTCCTTTTGTGTAGCCATGCTGATTGATATTGTCGGTATAGAAGTTGAATTCCCCCCTGATTGCTCTCATACCATGTTGGGCTGAAAAAGCCCTTAGGATCTTTGCAGAGGTGAACTCTGGGTAGAGTTGGTGGAGTAGCGGAAGCGTTAATTAAAGGGTTGTGAACCACCTTGCGCTAGTATGTGAGGGCAAAGTAAGTTTATTAAAACAGGTGGATACAGGTTTATATATGAGTACAAGGAATTCGAAGAGATGCAGTTATAACTGTATTGCTGTTGTGGTTTGATACAGTGACGACTCGGGCAACTGCTCTGTAGTGAGTCAGTTGTGTGTCCTTGCTGTCGCGCTGTATTTGTCAGGTCAAAGGTCGCTGACCTTCGCGTAACCTCCAACAGTTACTTTCAACCTCCGAGGGTTGACTCGCCGGTGATTCGTTATACTTCGTTTCTTTTGTGTCTTGGTGTTTCGACACGACAGAGGCGCTTAGGACCGATTGTTTCCAACAAATAAGACCCGGGTATTATGTAGGATTTTCCTTTGAGGAGACCCCCCCCATTTTTTTTCCAGTGGTTTTCATAATACCCTAGGGTGTTTTATCCGGGAGAATACGGTAAGAGGTTGGTCTGATACCATAAGGGGCAGTAGTAGGAACACGCCCTGAACCCGAAGATACCAGTACAAGGGTGGTCTGGTTTTCTACACCACATCGTGGATCTAAGGATGTCACGACGGTCAAGCAACTTGCAATGTGTTCATCCCATCACTGCCGCAACTTCAAGGGTGGCATTGACATAGGGTAAGCTGTAGGTACATGCGGAGCCATGCGTCAGGTACGCATTGCATGCCGCGTGCATGCAGGTGCGACTATCACCAACCCTTCCCCCCACGTGCACAAGGCGAGGGTCATGCGTAGTGGGGCACGGGGAGGAAGGGAAAGGGAGCAGCCGAGTAATACGCCACCGGGGGGAGACTCGCCCTCCTCCTGCTCTCACCCCTCTCGCCACTCCCTGCTGCCTCCCATGCCCTCCTCGCCCCGGCCTCCCCCCATGCCTTCTGCTCCACCTCCTCCCTCGCCCCCTGCTCTCCCGCTGTTGCTCCCCCTACCCCACTCTCGCCTGCACCTGCCATCACTGCAGGAGCGTGGGAGGGAAGCGGCGCATGGGTGAGTGTGGGCGCGGGGGCGGGGGAGAGAGCATGGGCGGGGAGGGGGTGGTGGGGGAGGCGGTGCAGCAGCATGGCGGCCATGAGGGCGGGCAGGAAGAGCAGGCTGGCGCGGAACAGCTGCCTGGCTGATGCTGACGAGGGGCTGCGATAGAAGGGCACTGCCGCTGCTGTGAACGCCCCCGTTAGCAGCACGTTCTCCCATAGGAACGGCGCTGTCGTGCACCCCACTGTGAGGGAAGGGGGGAACGAGGTGGGGGTGAGCGGAGGGAAGGAGGTATGGAGTGAGAAGGTCAAGGGATGAGATGGGTGAGGGATGAGATGGGTGAGGGATGAGATGGGTGAGGGATGAGATGGGTGAGGGATGAGATGGGTGAGGGATGAGATGGGTGAGGGATGAGATGGGTGAGGGATGAGATGGGTGAGGCATGAGCATCTGAGGTATTGAGAGCATGGCTGGGGAAAGGAGGTGAGAGAAGGAGTGTGCATGCAGATGGGGGGAGTGGGGAGTGCAAGGAGCGAGATGGCATGGGCAGAGACACGAATGGGCTGAAGTGATGAGACGAGAGGGCAGGCAAGCGCGGAGCCATTGGAAAAGATGAAGGGTCAAGGAAATGGGACCATGAATGGGTGGAGGGGTAGGGACGGTGGGGAGGGCGGGGAGGGCGGGGAGGGCGCACGGGAGACGGCAGCGAGTCCCAGTGGCAGCATGTAGCAGCAGTTGCGCAGCGCTGCTGCCGCTGTGCGCCGCCCCGTGGGGTCCGCCAGAGACAGCATGCGGTAGCTGTGTGGGGGGAGGGTGGGGGCGGAGGGGAGGAGTAGGGGAGAGAGGGAGGGGAGAGGTGACTCTTGAGTTGACTCAGAGTCCATCTCGCAGTGCTTCTGCTGCTGTGCGCCGCCCTGTGGGTTCCGCTAGGGACAGCATGCGGTAGCTGTGGGGGGGAAGGGGAGAGGAGTGGGGGAGAGGGGGAGGGGAAAAGTGGCTTTTGACTCAAAATCCATCTTGCGGCGCTGCTGCTGCTGTGCGCCGCCCTAAGGGGTCCCCGAGAGACAGCATGCGGTAGCTGTGGGGGGGGGGAGCCGAAGGTGGGGAGTGGGGGAGGCAGGGTGGGAAGTACAGAGGCAGGGGGGGGAAAGTACAGAGGCAGGGGGTGAGGCGAGGGGATACAGTGAACGGCATGAGGCAGCATGAGAAGATGAGCAAAAGTGAACTGATGGGAGGAGAGGACAGAATCAGGCAGGGCCATAATCAGCTGTGCAGCCTCACAAATGCTGAGTTGCCCCCCCCCACACACATACCTCCCTGCAGCATGGTCAACCCCCAGCCTCTCCCCTCACATACCCCCTTTGCAGTGGAGTCAACTCGTCCCCCCTCACCCCCACACATACCCCCCGCGCCCCCCCCCCTCGTCTTTCACTCACCCCCCAGCAGCATAGTCCTTGCGGCATCTGCCACAGGTACAATGCACCCGCTAGCACTGCTGCACCCCACTCCAGCCCATTGTGTGTTGAGTGAGTGCTCCCCCCTACCCCTACAGACACCCCCCTGTAGCATCGTCTGCCCCACCCTTCACTCACCCCCCAGCAGCATAGTCCTTGCGGCAGAGCCAGGCGAGAGCAAGGAAGTGCGGCATCTGCCACAGGTACAGCGCTCCTGCCAGCACTGCTGCCCCCGCGTCTAACCCCCCACTCGCCGCCGCCCAACTGCAGTGCACACGGGGGGAAGGGATGGGTGGGGAAGGAGAAGGGAGGGGAGGAGGGGGGTGGGGGAGGATGACATGCAGGGAAGAGTGAGAATAGATGAGAGAGGGGATGAGAGATGTGAGGTCAGCAGGTCACCTGCCTGCCTGCCTGCCTGCCTGCCTGCCTGCCTGCCTGCCTGCCTGCCTGCCTGCCTGCCTGCCTGCCTGCCTGCCTGCCTATTCCCAACCCTAGACCAACCCCCATGTGCTAGACCAACCCCCATGTGCTAGACCAACCCCCATGTGCTAGACCAACCCCCATGTGCTAGACCAACCCCCATGTGCTAGACCAACCCCCATGTGCTAGCCTGCCTTTTCTCCACCCTGCCTCACCTTGCCATCACCCTCCCAACCGCCATCACCATCATGTCACTTTCACGATTATCACCAGCACCACGAGCATCATTACCAAATCCGCATAACTCTGATCGCCATGCACCTAATTAACTGATCCCATGACGGGCTCACCACTAAAGTTGGTGGAAGTCAAACCTCCGCAGCCCAGGTTTCCATCGCCGACAAGTCCTCCATTAAAATCAATCTCAACAGAATTATCACCACCAGCACCAGCATCACGATCATGGCATGCCTCATGCCTGCAGTGTCTCACCCCATGAGAGGCGGGATGACTCACCCCATGAGAGGCGGGATGACTCACCCCATGAGAGGCGGGATGACTCACCCCATGAGAGGCGGGATGACTCACCCCATGAGAGGCGGGATGACTCACCCCATGAGAGGCGGGATGACTCACCCCATGAGAGGCGGGATGACTCACCCCATGAGAGGCGGGATGACTCACCCCATGAGAGGCGGGATGACTCACCCCATGAGAGGCGGGATGACTCACCCCATGAGAGGCGGGATGACTCACCCCATGAGAGGCGGGATGACTCACCCCATGAGAGGCGGGATGACTCACCCCATGAGAGGCGGGATGACTCACCCCATGAGAGGCGGGATGACTCACCCCATGAGAGGCGGGATGACTCACCCCATGAGAGGCGGGATGGCTCCGACGACAGCGCCCACCCACGTGTTGGCGATGTGCAGCTGCTTGAGAGGCGTGTACACCCCCGCGTACAGTGCTATGTTGGCCGCTCCCAGGCCTGCCGTCATGCTGTTGGTCTGTGCACACAGGCACAGGCACATGCATGCACACGAGTGGGGAGGGGAGAGAGAGGAAGGGGATGTGCAGCTGCCTGAGGGGCGTGCACACCCCCGCGTACAGCAGTATGTTGGCCGCCCCCAGGCCCGCTGTCATGCTGTTGGACTGTGTATGCGTGCATGCACACGAGCGAGGAGGGGGGAGAAAAGGGGGGAGGGAGGGAGTGCAGCTGCGTCAGAGGCGTGTACACCCCCGCATACAGTGCTATGTTGGTGGCTCCCTCCCAGGCCCGCTGTCATGCTGGTGGTCAGTGCATGCTTGAGCGAAGGAGGAATGAGGCACGAGGGGCGGAGCAGAAGGTGGGTTGATAGTGAGATGAGGCAATGGAAGGATGAAGTTGCGAGCTGTTGCCGCTGTTGACCATGCTGACTGCACTGCGTTGCATGCGAGGCAAGAATACCTGACTGCACTGCACACCTGACTGCACCGCGCACAACACCTGACTGCACTGCACACCACACCTGGGTTGCGAGGATGGCGAGGCCGCTGGCCCCGGTGAGCAGCCCCCATGCGATGGCGTGCTGCCGGGTCATGCGCCCTGCCGGGAGGGGCCTCCCCCGCGTGCGCTTCATTAGTGCGTCATTCGCCACCTCGTACACCTGGGAGGGAAACCGGGGGGGCGCGCAGGGGGGGCGCACAGGGGGGGCGCATCGGGTAACACAGGGGCACAAGGGGCAACGAAGGGCTGATCGTCCGCCCTGCCGGCAGTGGCCTGCCGGGAAATGGGGGAGAGAGGCACGAGGCGAGAGTAGCGCGGTGCAGCGATGCAGCAGCAAGGAGAGGGCGAGCCTTGCCCAATGCATACAGGCGACGAGAGGTGAGAGGTGAGAGGTGAGAGGTGAGAGGTGAGAGGTGAGAGGTGAGAGGTGAGAGGTGAGAGGTGAGAGGTGAGGGGTGCCGCAAGCAGCAAGGGCAGCAGACAGAATGAGCACTGGGCAGCCACACCTGGTTCCACGTGTTGGCGGAGGCAGCTGCCAGGAAGGTTCCAAGCGAGGTCCATCCAAGTCCTGCCCAGTCAACGCGGTCGTCACTGCCCATCACAAACCCCGCTGCCGCTGTTGCCACCACCAGCAGGCTGGGGGGGTGTGAGGCGCGCAGGGGGGTGTGAGGCGCGCAGGGGGGTGTGAGGCGCGCAGGGGGGTGCGAGGCGCGCAGGGGAGCGAGAGGCAGGAGGCAGGGGGTACGGGGCACAAGGGACAGGAGTCAGCTAGGGTGAGAGGCGCAAGGGTTCGGAAGACAGGAGGGGGTGACGGGTGCAGGGGCCGGAAGACAGGGGGTGAGGGGCAGAGGGAGGAGGGGGAAGAGAGGGAATGCTGTGAGACGCTATGCGCAAGACGAGGTGAGGCGCACGAGAGAGCAACGGAAAAGGCGTCATCACATTCAGAGCAGCGGGACGTGTCAGTTCCTCACCTCCGCGCAAGCACCCACCCACCTGAGCCGCGTCTTGCTGAGCTCGTAGTAGCACCGCCCGTAGTGCTTCCACACGCTCACGCCTGCCGCCCGCCCTGCCGCCGCGCCTGCCGCGGGGACGGCGAGGCTCGCGCGGGCGGCGGCGGGCAGAGAGGCGGCGGCGGAGAGGGTGGCGGAAGAGAGGCTGGCGGAGGAATGCGTGAGGGCGGAGCGGAGAGCGGAGAGCGAGGGGGAGGTGAGCGTGAGCGCGAGGGGCGACGCGTGCCGCCATGCGCCGATGCGCTTCGCGTTGGTGGCGAGGGATGCGGGGCCGTGAGCGACGACGAGCGACGGGATGAGGCGCGCGTGATGCGGCGTGGCGGCGGTGGGCGGGGCGGCGTGCGCGAGGGAATGCAGCGGATAAGGACCGCCCGGTGCGGGCGCGCCGTGCGCGCCGCGACACGCAGGCCCATGGGTCAGCGACGCGACCTGCTTGCGCGCCTCGCGACACGCCACCCGCCACATGGTGCTGGTGGCGGCGCGCGAGTGAACGGTCGACAGCGACGAGGACGGCAAGAGCCGGATACTAAAAGTAACGACGTTTCTTAGTGGATCTAATAGTAACGCGAGACGAGAGCGAGCCGTGCGCCGCGTTTCGTTTCGGACAAGGCAGCGCGGCGAAGGATGGCACGGCGGGCGGGACGCACAAGGCTCCGTGAACGCGTCTCGCGCACGAAGGCCCAACGGCTTCCGAACTGGAGCCTCGAGAAAAAAACACGGCTCTGGCAAAACCAGGTTCGCAGCTTCGGATTCCCAAACCAAGGCAGGCCCGTGACGTGGCTCAGGCTCGTGAACAAAACGGCCGAAACCAGAGCTGATGAGATACGCGTTACTAGCGAGAGCGGGTGAAGTAATTTCACCACTGTAGCGCCTACAAACATAAAACCAACGTTTCTGCCACTTCGAATTAACCACACTGGTGAGTGTTGTGCAAATGAAGCACACACGCGAAGTCCGACAGTGAGCTTTTCGCCAAAATCCATCTGTGCCCGTCCATTCCAGTGCCTGCCGCGTCGCTTCGTGAAATCGAGCGATCAGATTCACTCGTTTCAACGCGCCATCCAGCGGTTAGCAAACAACGTCTCTCCCGCGCTTCACCCGCCACCTTTACTTTCTCGCACCGTGCCCCCGGCCCTCCGATCTTGCCTGTCGCGCGGTGCGACTGCCGCGTGGTTGCTGCGAGGCGCGCGAGGAGAGGCAGAGGGCGCGGGGCGGATCGTGATAGCGGCGGGGAGGGCAGCAGCTTGAGTCGGCATGGCGGAGCAACAGCAGCTAGGGCCCACACAGGTGAGGTCGGCCCCGCGCAGGTGAGGACGGCCCCGCGCAGGTGAGGTCGGCCCCGCGCAGGTGAGGTCGGCCCCGCGCAGGTGAGCCGTGCGTGCTGCTGTTCCCCACTCGCGCCATGCAGCTGAGCGCGCGCCATTCGCGCCAATCTGTTGTGCGCAATCCCGTAAGATCTCATAGCCTGCCGTCCCTTTAGTTCGCATCCCGCGCCCCACGACGCCCCGCGTCGCCCCACGACGCCCCGTTGTGCGCGCACCTGGTGCTGAAGGCCATCCCGCACTTGCCGCTGAGCGCGCCTCGCAGTCGCACGCCATCGATTCCATGCATCCCGCCGCGCACCCTTTGCACCCAATTCTCACCGCATGTACCAATGAAGGGCATCCCGCGCCTGCTGGTGGAGCAGAGCATTGATGCGGTGCCATGCCATGCCATGCCCCATTGCCCGCACCCATCCCCCCACGCGCCATTTCCACCGCATGTACCGCTGAAGGGCATCCCGCCTGCTGGTGGAGCAGAGCATTGATGCCCTGTCGTCCCATGCCATGCCATGCCATGCCATGCCGCACTGCCCGCCCCCTCCCCCCATTGCGCGCCATCCCCTCTCACGGCGCGTGCAGATATCGGTAAAAGACATCCCGCGCCTGCCAGTGGAGCAGGTCCGGCAGATCCGCGAGCAGGTGGAGGGCGAGGTGAAGATGCTCGCTGACTCCCTCGCCTCCCTGCGCGCCGCCCTTGCCCGCATCGATGCCTCGCGCGCCGCTGTTGAGGCCATGGCGAAACAGCAGGAAGGTGCGCAGGGATAGTGACAGTAGGAGGGGAGAGAAGCGGGGGGTGATACGGAGGTGGGATGGGGGAGACGCTACAAACACAGTTGAGTGGGGGAGGTGGGGTGCAGCTGCTTGCCGACTCCCTCAATTCCCTGTGTGCTGCCCTCGCCCGTGCTCATGCCTCGCGCGCTGCTGTGGAAGCCATGGCGCAACAGCAGGAAGGTGCGGAAGGGGAGATGGAGGGTGTGGGGAGAGGCGGGGGGGAAGTGGGGGGAGGTGAGATGGGGCAGTGATGGTAGGAGAGGAGAAAAGTGGCGGGTGATAAGGAGGTGGCGTGGGGGGAACGCTACAAACACAGTGGAGTGAGGGGGATTGGGGTGAAGCTGCTCGCCGACTCCCTCACCCACCTGTGCCCCGCCCTTGCCCGCATTGATGCCTCGCGCGCTGCTGTTGAAGCCATGGCGAAACAGCAAGAAGTTGCGGAAAGGGGGAATGGGAGGTGGGGGGAAGAGGTGTGGTGGGGGGGAGGGGGAAGAGGTAGTGGGTAGGTGGGATGGGGCACTGACGGTAGGAGGGGAGAGAAGTGGGTGGTGAGGGAGAGGTAGGATGGGGGAGAGGTAGGATGGGGGAGAGGTAGGATGGGGGAGAGGTAGGATGGGGGAGATGCTACATAGTGGGGTTGAGGGAGGAGTGAACTCCATGCCCTATGAATCTACACACCCCCTCTCTCCCCACCCCACCCCACCAGGTGCGAGCATGCTGGTGCCTCTCACTGGATCCATGTACATCGCTGGCACCGTCGCTGAACCCTCCCATGTGCTCATTGATGTTGGCGCCGGCTACTATATCGAGGTGACTATACCGAGGTGACTATACCGAGGTGATTATAGAGAGGTGACTCTATCGAGTTGAGTATAGCGAGGTGACTGTAGCGAGGTGACCTGTCTCGAGGTGATTGCATCAAGCTGATTATAGGGAGGTAACTATATCGAGGTGATTGTATTGAGGTGAGCATTTCAAGGTGAATGTATCGAGGTGACTATGCTGAGCTGATTATTGACTAAATCAAGGTGATTGTAACGAGGTGATGTTAAGCCCTGCTGAATAGCCCATGCTTGGTCCTGTTGGGCCTCCGCCCTGCATGTCTGCTCCGCTCGTTATAACACTATCCCGCATTCCCCCCTGTGCTCCCTTTGGGCTTGCTGAACACTGTGCATGGGGTGCATGGGGTGCATGGGGTGCATGGGGTGCATGGGGTGCATGGGGTCTCTTGTCGTCATGTGTGTCATGGTGCGCTACCCTGCACTGCCTGGGTTTCCCATGTGTGTTATGTGCATGGGGTGCATGGGGTGCATGCGGTGCATGCGGTGCATGTGGTGCATGTGGTGCATGCATGCCGGGCTGGACGCCAGCAGAAGTCAGTGGAGGAGGCGATGGGGTACTGCATGCGCAAGGCAGAGCTCCTTAGAGCCAACCACGATAAGTTCAGCGAGGTGTGTGTGTGTGTGTGTGTGTGTGTGTGTGTGTGTGTGTGTGTGTGTGTGTGTGTGTGTGTGTGTGTGTGTGTGTGTGTGTGTGTGTGTGTGTGTGTGTGTGTGTGTGTGTGTGTGTGTGTGTGTGTGTGTGTGTGTGTGTGTGTGTGTGTGTGTGTGTGTGTGTGTGTGTGTGTGTGTGTGTGTGTGTGTGTGTGTGTGTGTGTGTGTGTGTGTGTGTGTGTGTGTGTGTGTGTGTGTGTGTGTGTGTGTGTGTGTGTGTGTGTGTGTGTGTGTGTGTGTGTGTGTGTGTGTGTGTGTGTGTGTGTGTGTGTGTGTGTGTGTGTGTGTGTGTGTGTGTGTGTGTGTGTGTGTGTGTGTGTGTGTGTGTGTGTGTGTGTGTGTGTGTGTGTGTGTGTGTGTGTGTGTGTGTGTGTGTGTGTGTGTGTGTGTGTGTGTGTGTGTGTGTGTGTGTGTGTGTGTGTGTGTGTGTGTGTGTGTGTGTGTGTGTGTGTGTGTGTGTGTGTGTGTGTGTGTGTGTGTGTGTGTGTGTGTGTGTGTGTGTGTGTGTGTGTGTGTGTGTGTGTGTGTGTGTGTGTGTGTGTGTGTGTGTGTGTGTGTGTGTGTGTGTGTGTGTGTGTGTGTGTGTGTGTGTGTGTGTGTGTGTGTGTGTGTGTGTGTGTGTGTGTGTGTGTGTGTGTGTGTGTGTGTGTGTGTGTGTGTGTGTGTGTGTGTGTGTGTGTGTGTGTGTGTGTGTGTGTGTGTGTGTGTGTGTGTGTGTGTGTGTGTGTGTGTGTGTGTGTGTGTGTGTGTGTGTGTGTGTGTGTGTGTGTGTGTGTGTGTGTGTGTGTGTGTGTGTGTGTGTGTGTGTGTGTGTGTGTGTGTGTGTGTGTGTGTGTGTGTGTGTGTGTGTGTGTGTGTGTGTGTGTGTGTGTGTGTGTGTGTGTGTGTGTGTGTGTGTGTGTGTGTGTGTGTGTGTGTGTGTGTGTGTGTGTGTGTGTGTGTGTGTGTGTGTGTGTGTGTGTGTGTGTGTGTGTGTGTGTGTGTGTGTGTGTGTGTGTGTGTGTGTGTGTGTGTGTGTGTGTGTGTGTGTGTGTGTGTGTGTGTGTGTGTGTGTGTGTGTGTGTGTGTGTGTGTGTGTGTGTGTGTGTGTGTGTGTGTGTGTGTGTGTGTGTGTGTGTGTGTGTGTGTGTGTGTGTGTGTGTGTGTGTGTGTGTGTGTGTGTGTGTGTGTGTGTGTGTGTGTGTGTGTGTGTGTGTGTGTGTGTGTGTGTGTGTGTGTGTGTGTGTGTGTGTGTGTGTGTGTGTGTGTGTGTGTGTGTGTGTGTGTGTGTGTGTGTGTGTGTGTGTGTGTGTGTGTGTGTGTGTGTGTGTGTGTGTGTGTGTGTGTGTGTGTGTGTGTGTGTGTGTGTGCGCTCCTTCCTTGCCCCCCATGCATGCTGCACGCCCTCCCATCCTCGCCCATGCTCCGTGCCTTGCACACCCCAACCAACTGTTCTGCATGCACAAAGCGAAGCTGCTTAAAGCCAACCACGACAGGCTCAGCGAGGTGTGGACCCCCTACCTCCCTGCCCCCTCTGCACCTCCTTTGTGTCAGTACAGTGGGTGGTGCATTCTCCCCTCTCTAATCCAGTCCACACCTCCCGCTCTCACCCCTTCAGTTCCACTGTCTTTCAATTCCATGCCACATGCTCGTCCCCCTCTCCACCCAATTCTATGAGCAGGTAGCAGATGCATCTACTGGAGGAGGTGCCAACGGTGCTGCGGACCAGCCACACTCCACTGCACCGCACCACACCACACATCACATCCCACCCCACCCGTGGCAGGTGGCGCATGCCAAGAGGCAGCTACTGGAGGAGGTGACGATGGTGCTGCAGGCCAAGCACACCCCACTGCACCGCACCACACCACACATTACACCCCTCCCCATCCCACCCCACCCCTCCATGAGCAGGTGGCGCGCGCCAAGCGACAGCTGCTGGAGGAGGTGACGATGGTGCTGCAGGCAAAGGTGAGGGCAGCCGTGCAGCAGCAGGGCGGGGGAGCACCAGGTGCTGCTGCAGCGGGGGCAGCACAGGCAGGCAGGATACAGGCAGCTGCCTCGTGAGCTCTGTGCTCTGTGCATGGCCCTGCCTGCACGTCAACCATGCTGCTGTGCGCCTTTACCTGATGGCGTGTTGTGGAATGGAATCATTTTGGCTCAAGTGCACTCAGGGCAGCGCCATTTTGGTTTGGCTGTTAGCAAGGTGTGGGTCTGCAGCTGATGCACATGCTCCTCTAGATGTAGGTAGGAAGTCCCTGCTGGGGCAAACAGCACCCAGTGAACCCCCTGCTTTTGTAAGGATAGCTGAATGCAGTGGTAAATTGATTCTAGAGCGCACTAGAACTTGTGGACTTGAATAGTATCTTACAGCGTAGGGACTTGACTTGTACCCTCTGTAACTTGCTCCATTATGCAGGCACGGTTCTGTATGTTCAATCATCTGTCCTTTTCAAGATAAGCCAGCTTCTGATTCGAGCAGACAGTATGTGGAGTGTTCTAGCTGCCTCAAAACTCCACGAAAATGGCAAAAGACAAGGTACGGTATGCCTACAGATACACAACCTACGGCACCCATATCATGCACTTCCGGCTCCTAACATAAATCTGCATTCATTTGCTCCTAGCTCAGACAGCTGCTGATGTGATCCGGAGAGTATATCTCAGCCGACAAGCGAGTCCGCCCGGGGGACCTCGCTGCCCGCGGGCAAAAAAAATAAACCCCATAAGGGCATGCATCCGGTCAGGGAGGCATCAACCCTAAACACAGGGAGGCATGGATTTAGGGTTGATGCCTCCCTAGGATGGCATGCCATCCGATGGGGTTTTAGTTTTTTTCTGCCCGGGGCAGCATGTCGTCAAGTCGTCAGAGGGTCGTCAGGCTTGACGACCCGTTTCCGCTGAGATATTCCGACAGTGTGGCCCCCTAAACCTGTCTTGCAATGCTACATTTCCAACGGCTCTCCAACGGGAACCTAGCTCAGCCAGCTGGTGATCTGAGCGGACAGTGTCCGCTTGTGCCGTGTGATGGGCGCCGCAAACGACCCGGCGTCACTCGCCTCCTGCACGTCGGGCAGGTCGGGTTTCCACATCACGGCGCGCCTCTCCTCCTTGCCCGCTGTCACCGTGGACCAGTTGAACAGGCACTCCCCGTTCAGCACCTCCACCCTCCGCCTGAACGCCTGCACCGCCGCCTGCCACTCTATGTCCTCCTCTGCTGCTGCTGCTGTGCCCGCTGCCCCTGCCGTTGTTGCAGCTGCTACACCCTGTGTCCCATGTGCTGACTTGCCCTTGCTGCTGCGGCCCACCAGGCTGTCATCCACGGCGCGCCTGGCTCTGGCAGGGCGGGAGGGGGCGTCCAGGGAAATGGCGTGCAGCAGGCGCCTCAGTGGGCTGCGGTCCTGGCCTCTGCCCTCCTGGCCTCTGCCCTCCTGGCCTCTGCCCTCCTGGCCTCTGCCCTCCTGGCCTCTGCCCTCCTGGCCTCTGCCCTCCTGGCCTCTGCCCTCCTGGCCTCTGCCCTCCTGGCCTCTGCCCTCCTGGCCTCTGCCCTCCTGGCCTCTGCCCTCCTGGCCTCTGCCCTCCTGGCCTCTGCCCTCCTGGCCTCTGCCCTCCTGGCCTCTGCCCTCCTGGCCTCTGCCCTCCTGGCCTCTGCCCTCCTGGCCTCTGCCCTCCTGGCCTCTGCCCTCCTGGCCTCTGCCCTCCTGGCCTCTGCCCTCACTGTCACTGCCGTGCTTGGGATTGTCGCCCTCACTGCCCGTGGCGTCGAGAGATATAGCGTGCAGCAAGCGCCTCAGCGGGCTGCGCTCTCGCCCTCTGCCCTCACTGCCACTGTCTTCACGGCCCCTGCTCCCCTGCTTGGCCCTGTCACCCTCACTTCGCTTATCGCGTGCCTTGCGCTTCAATTCACTGCGTGCCTCCTCCCTGCGCCCCCCCTGCTGCTGCCCCTGCTGCCCCTGCTGCCCCTGCTGCCCCTGCTGCCCCTGCTGCCCCTGCTGCCCCTGCTGCCCCTGCTGCCCCTGCTGCCCCTGCTGCCCCTGCTGCCCCTGCTGCCCCTGCCTCGTCCACTCATTCCCAGCGCCATCATGCCACATCTCTGTGTCCATCTCTGTGTCCATCTCTGTGTCCATCTCTCCCCTTCCTTCCCCATCGCTCACAGGGCAAGGGCTCGCAGGGCGAGGGCTCATGGAGGCCCCCTGGTAACGCCCGTGTGTGTCATCGTGAGGAGGAGAGCGGTGTGAGGGGGCGGCAGCGTAGAGGGGAGAGTGCTGCGAGGGGGTGGTGGAGGCGGCGCAGCGCTGGGAAGGCGGAGGGGACGAGTGGGCGGGCCTGGTGAGAAACAGCACGGGCGTGGGGGGATGCAGCATGGGGGGGCGGGGTTCAGGGTACTGCGAGGCATGCTCTCCGTTGTCAAACGCCATGCGGGGCGGGCTGAAACTGCTCCCCCTGGGCACAGCACAGGGCGGTCGTGCCAGGTCAGGGCTGCGCTGCCCCTCCGCCCTCCCCCCCAAAGGGCTGCGCCCTCTCTGCGGACTCCTCCCCCTCAAAGGGCTCCTCCCCCTCAGCGGACTCAGCTGCCTCATCCTCTCCACCAGTGCTTCCGCCCACCCCTGCTCGCCCTTATCCCCCGCCTTCCCATCGCCCCGCATCTCTCCCCCTTCCTCCTCCTCCCCCCCCCCTCCTCCCCCTGCCCCCCTCCGCCATGCTCAGCACCCTCTGCGCACCAATGAGCGCCTCTACCGCGTCCAGCGCCGCTGCTCCCCCCACGCCCTCCCCACCCGAGTGCCTGCGCCCGTGGCTGCGCGTCAGCGGGCTGCTCCCCGCCCCCGCCCCTGCGCCTGCCTGCGCCGCCGCGCCCTTCCCCCCCCTACGCTCCCCGCCCGCGGTCCTGGGCCTCAGCGCGCTGGCGCAGGGCGGCGCGGCCGCCTTGCTGCATGACGCGGGGAGCGACCCGCGCAAGGGACTCGCGTGCGCGCTGCCATACGGGCTGCCATGCGGCGTCGCGTGCGCGCTCCCCAGCGGAGTCACATGCGCGCTGCGCCATCGCCCGTCCCCCGCCTTTCCCCCGTCGTCGTCACCCCCCCACGCCTCTTCCGCGAGTCCCCGTATCTCCTCCGGACTTCCGCTCAACGATTTGCACGGGCGGTGCATGCCGCGCCTGGACCGCCGCAGCGCGGGCACCATCAGCCGCCCAGGGGAAGCCGCCAGCCCCGCGCCCTGGGCCGCGTGGCTCTCCCCCGTCTTCCCGTTCAGCGCCATCCCGCCTGTCTCTCCCGCGCGTCGCCTGCTCGCTCCGCCATCTGCGTGAGCAGGGGAGTGCACACCTGTGGCAAACGGCGCTGGAGCGGCGGCGGCGGAGGTGCGGGCGTGTGGCGGAGAGGCGTCGGGGGAAACGTCGGGGAGGGCGCTGGTGCTGTGATTGACGCGATGGCGGGGCTTCACGAAAATAGTGACGCGGGGCGGGGACCGCGCGGGCACGTGCACCAGTGGCGGAACGGCGGACTGCGGATGCGCGGAGGGCGGAGATAAATTGCGCTGCAGGGGGACGGGTCGACGGGGAGGGCGGGAGGGAGCTGTTTGAGCGGGGCATTCGGAGTGACGTGCTTGTACTAATAGCGCGACGACTGGAAGAGCATGGCGATGCGCGTCGGCGATGCGCACGCAGCTGCGCATAGCATCAAAACCATAGTGTCAAAATCTAGTGTACTCGCTACGCTCGATGCTTCGAAGTAATCCCGAGTTGACAGCGTTCACAGGGTTCGTTCGAAGCCCAATTCGCGCGGTTTGGCAAAGCAGAACCGGCGGAACCCGCTCGTAGCCTCACCTCATTCCTGCCGTTGGCGGAAGGCGTCTTGCGCAAATCCCGCGGAGGCTTCCGCCCCGCCGTCCCGCCTTCATCCGCGTGCGCGCACTCCGCTCCGCCCGTAACCCCGCCCTTCCCTTGCGCTTTCCGCACGAGGTGGTAACAGCGCCCCGGCTTAAGAACCCGCCCCGGCGGCAGCGGCCCCTCGCGCTTGGCGAAAAGCGAGGCGCTGCTGGCGTCGGCGGGCGAAAAGACCGCGTGGTTCGGGTAATGGCGCACGACGCTCTCGACGTAGACGGGGCCCATCAGCACGTCGACGATCGTGTCGCCCATCTTCAACACAACTTTGTCTTTTAGCGCCATGCTCGGCGCGCTGCTGTGGATAGGTATAAAATCTAGTCTGCTATGGAATGGTGAAGTGTCGGTTGGGAGAGAAATCATCTAGTCTTGCAAAGATTGTAGCAGATGAGAGGTCAGTGAGGGCGTCGGGGAACCAATTGTGAGGGCGTGTTTGCAAAATTCAGGAATTATAGAAACGGAAAGCAGAGATCCAACGAGCCCACCGACTTTTAGGAGATACACGCTGCTGCAGGGGACGGTGGGAGTTGGGGCAAGCTTCGTTGTGTTGTGGGGCGAGCAAAGCGGACCAGGTGACGCGTCGACGCGCAAACGCACATGCCGCTGCCGAGGAGGTGAGTTGAGTGGATGGAACATGGAGCATGGCATGGCATGACGACGGCTGATGCCTGCTCTGACTCGGACCGCGGCAGTTTCGCCAGCTGCGCTCGGCAGCTTTCGCCAGCTATTCTACTTTCGTCACGCATAAATCGGCCCGCCTGACGGCGCTCGGGGAGGTGGGTGATTGCAGGTGGGTGCTGTGCTAGTGGGGGAGAAATATTCAAATTGTCTTCGCCAGCTTTCGCTGGAGCTCGGAATCAATGGTCAGAATGGTCAGAGCGGCGTGATGCGAAGCACAGTAACACGCGTCATTACCAAATTCTCACGCGGCTTGGAGTGGATGGCAGCTGGTTGAAAACGGTTGACGAGCGGATTCAGCAAACACGAAAGCTCCGAAGAAATGTCCCTACTAAAGTCTGTTAACTGCCACAGTACACTACTGTGAATCAAGTGCAAATAATGATGCTTCTAGTAACCATTTCCATGAGAACTTGAGTGATCTAGAACAAAGCTTTCCAGACTGCACTTTAATCATTTGAATGCGTTCCCTCACACTACATAAATATCATAGATTATACAACAAATCTCCACTTGTGCATGTCAAGTTTCTGGATGCCTGTGAGCAGGGAGGAGGCACAGGCAAGGAAAGGGCAATGGAAAACAACAAAACACAAGGTCAGTCAACCAATTTGACTTGACAGCAATGAGGAACAGGTGGCTGGGAGGGAGAAACACGAGGAGGGGGAACTTGGGCCAGTAGAATGCGAAGCTTTTGATGAGGGCTGTGCCTGGCACATGGTGGTGGTGCAGGCAACCAAGCAGCAACCTGCATTCCAGAAGCAGCCAAGTGACTCTTCGGAAGTGACTGAAAAGGATGTAATGAAGGCTGTGCCTGGCGCATGGTGGTGGTGCGGGCAACAGAGCAGCGACCCGCACTTTCAGGAGTAGCCAAGCTGGCAGGCGTTGGTGTGGCTGCCCTCATAAGCGCGTGGGGCGGCAGACTGCCACGTCAGCGACCGGCAGACGCCCCACCCGCGGCAATTCAGGGAGCCATGCCCAAGAGGTGGCGGTGCGACTGGGGTGATGTGACAGTGACTGCACTCATCGTAACATGCTACTTACATGTAATGGCGCGACAGCAGGGGACTGGGTGCAACCACCCACACATGGAGTATGATGGTCCGTTCTTAGTCACCCAGCAATGGAATGTGAGGCTCCTCACAAGCCGTCTCACGCGTGGGTACAGCCACCCACACTGCAGAGGTCAACACATGCACTACAGTGGTCCGCTGGTCCAGGCCTACTCGCCACTGCTAGCCATTGTGAAGCGCCTCCCGAGCCGTCTCATCACGCGTGGGTACTGCTACCCACACTGCAGAGATCAACACACGTGAAGCGTGGCAGTTCATGCTTTCTTGGCGCTGCAGACGGCAGCTGTACCTGCACAGGGTTAAACATTGAGACAGAATGAATAGATGGTGCAAAGGATTCAGGTCTGGCGTGCTCGCAAACACAATCGGAGCATAGACGCATCGCAGCATGGCCGCACGTGATCGTGGCAGCATGGCAGCATGTGAGGGGTGCATGGAGGACAAAAGCCCATTATCGAAAGATGGACCGCCATGGCATGCCACTGCGGGTCACTCAAAAGCTCCCATCGCTCGGCACCCCCCTGTAGGGCAGCGCTGTAGGCACCCTTCACTAAAAGCACAGCCAGTAGGTTGAACTGCACTTTGAAGACATAAGGCGCCATGTGCAGTGGAATGTATGAGACATGCGAGACATGTGAGATGTTCGAGATGTGCAGCAAATGCGGACACGCAGCGGGTGACGGTGCTAGTGCATTGTGTTCAAATCCCCATGGCGCACATCCCCATGGCGCACATATGCTGCAACAGACGGCAAAGGCCTTGCTACTTACATGTGATGATGATGACGTCACGTCATGACACCACGGCCCCACCATCAGGCACGGAGGACGAGGACGGGCGACCGCACAACGGGAGGCTCGGCAGCATGGCAGGCTCGGCAGCATGGCAGGCCCGGTGACGACCCTGCACGCAAAGACGGGAACATGCCATCTGAGACGAATGAGGAATAGTGGCACTCTCTCGCTCGCAGACAGAGAATAAGCCAATTCCGAGAAGGCAAGTCAAAAATGTTTCCAAGGCAACGATGATGCGAGTGACACAATCGACCGCATCTCTGGGCTGCCTTGAGGAATCAATCGAATCAGATCTTATCAGATAAGATCGGATCGGATCGGATCGAGCGCTATGGGCATCCTGAACATAAGGCCTGGCAGGGAGACAATGCTGCTGCCACGCCTCGGAAAGAGTAATGCCCCGGACACCACCACCATCACCCCCTCGCCAACCCATCACCACCAGCACCACCACACCACCAGCACCACCACTGCCACAACCACCCCAGCATCATCATCACCCCACTCCATCAAACCCGCTACCACTGACAAGCCATCGATTCACAGCGGCGCGATTTGGGCTAAACGACAATCTACGAGTGGTGCGCCGAGGGGAGTGGGGAGTGGGGAGAAGGGAGTTGGGAGAGGGGAGCGGGAAATGGGGACGCGGCGGGTTGCCGAAATGGAGCGCGAAACGGTCATCGATACAAGGACATTAGCACGCACCTGCGTCGCTACCAAGCGGGCTCGACGGAGCCCTAGGACGAGGCGCCATAGATCGAACCAACCACGTGCGACTATCGAAGCGCCTCAAAGGGAGCGCCGGCGCGAGGCGCGCTATGGATGGAATCGGCGACGGAAGCCAAGATCGACGGCCTGGATCGAAGGGTGAGCTGCAGCCAGCAGAGTGCGGACTGCGCGCGCGCCACCAGTCGGCTCCCACGTGCCTCCCGCGCGGATCCACGTGGCTCCTACACGGAAGAGACTCCCACGTGGCTCTTGTAGTTCAGGCGATCGCTGATTCGAGCCTTCCATGCTCCTGCGGGTTGCGCGTTGTAATGGGGCGGGGAGGGAGAAGCGAAAAGAGCGACCGGATCAGCCAATGGCGAAGTGGCGAACCGTGCGGAGGCGCGGAAATTATCTATGCTGCTGCCCGCAGCAGCGCCCAGCAGAAGCAGCGGAACTCATCGATATGCGGGGAGGCGCTAAGTGCGCAGAGGGCGGAAAGGGCGCAGAGGGCGCATAGGGCGGAAGGGGGAATGTCCGCTAGCCCCATGACCGCGGATCCCATTGGGGGGAAGGCGGAAAAGGGAGGGGACGCGGAGGGACGATGTGGCGCCGATTTACGGGGAGAGGAGCATTAAAAGGCCCCACTCCTGAAAAGTCGACGCGGACAAGCTAAGCATTCTGAGAAGTATCGAACGTTTAGTTGTAGGGAGAGGGTTGCGAGAAGGGGGTTCCGGGGAAAGGGTTGGGAGAGGGTTATGGGGAGGGGAGCACTGGTAGGAACCACTGCTGAAAAGTCGACGCGGGCAAGCCAAGCATTCTCAGACGCCGAACGAGAGCTAAGCAAAGCTTTGAACCGGGCGAGACTGACGAGAGGCAGGGGTGGGGCATTGGGGGGGGTTGGGGAAGGGTGGGGGTGAGTTCGGGGAGAGGGAGGAGTTGTGCAGGAATATCAACGAGGTCGCACATGAGAGCTGCGAGGCGCGGCGCAGGTACACACTGACGGCTGGCCGTGTGTCCGCCGGCTAGTGCTGGCCAGTTTTGTGTCGGCTGGTTGTGTGTCAGCCGACTAGTATCCGCCGGCTAGTGTCGGCCGGCTTGTGATGGCCGGGTGAGAAGCTGGAGGGCGCGGGGAGAGAAGCTGGAGGGCGCGGGGAGAGAAGCGGGGAGGCGAAGGGGAAGGGAAGGGAGATTGAGAATGGCGTCACCGGAATTAGTCATTCGCAGCAGAAACATGCGACTACACGCTGAATGCGACAAAACATCACAACTGCGAGGTGAAAATAGTGCGCGTGAAAGAACATGGCAATGCTTTGCGGGATAAAGGGATTGCACTGCATTGCTCTGCAGTGTGCCTCCCCCCCAAACAGCCTCATCGCACGAGATTCCGCCCGCGCGCCCAAAGAGGCGCGCGGCGGATGCGGGAGCGCAAGGGGGGGAGCAGCCACACCGCGCGCGAAAGCACGAGGCATGCGCGAGTGCGTCAGTGTGCGCACGGTTCAAATCCACGCTGGCACCGATAAATGCATGCCGCGTGGAAGAACATCCATGCGCTGACGTGGCACTGCATGGTGCGAGCAGGGCGGCAGCGACCTTGAGCTGAGAACAGCGTTCGGCACTATAACCCCCAATCATTTATATCCCGGCAACAGGGATTCGCCTGATTTCTCATATGGCCTCACCTCATTCAGTCAGCAACCCCACGCAGGAGAGTGACGCGGAGATGGAAGCGCGGTCCCGGGAACGGGCGCTACGAGAACCTGCACGCGAAATTGACAGAGTGAACGAAATAGGGAGGTTTGTTTAGACACAAAGCGGACTGTTCTGATAATCAGAATATAATCAAGATACGGCTCTGCGCGTCCTCTAGCGAGACTCGATATAAGGAACAGTTTGCAGTCTAGATTCGTTATGAGCACCTCCGCATTGAGGCTGGCGCAACGGGGAATCGACGCGCGGCGGGCGAGCTCGCGCGGTGGCGGCAATGGGGAGGCGGGCTCCACATCGTCGCAACCGGGGCTCCGCCCGCACGCGTCGCTGCGCCAGCCCAAGCAGGGAGGCGGCGAGCGCTCTTCGCGCAGCGATACGGCCGCCACCCAATCGAGCCGCGCCGACTCCGCACCCGAGGGTACGACACGGCCAGCTTCGAGCAACGGCACGAGAAATCGCTGCGCGAAAACTAGTTTGAGTTTCCCATTGTGCGAGTAACCAATACCCGCTGCGTAAAGGGCGGGGAAACGAAAACAGCGCAGAAAGAGAGCGCTGCGGCAGTAAAAAAACTTCGAATACTCGCGGAAACAGAGCGAATATGCTATTAAAATTCGTATTTAAGTCGCCACTCACAAAAAACACACCTTGCACTCATCGCGTTTAGGTCTGAGGACGCGGCAAATCACGAGCTTTTAACGGCGGGACACAGCCGAGCGGGTTCGTCTTTTGAGGCGCCTCAAAATTAGGCCTGCGGACGCGGCAGATCACAAGCCTTTAACGGCCGCACACAGCCGAGAGGATTCGTTCCGGCTGCAATGCAGCAAAAGCCTACTCGCGCGCAGACGCAACGTGCTGAGTGCGGAGCAACAGCGCGACTCTGTGGAAGGCCGATGACAAGCCATCGGAGCAGCGTGTAAGAGGGAAGAGCCGCAGCGGATGCTGCCAGACGGGGAATCGGAGTTTGGGCTGCCGCTGTCGAAGTGAAACATGCCTTGCCTTCGCTGCTCCAGCTATGACAGCCTTCTCCCAGCCAAGGAACAAGAACCGAGGACTCGAGCAGCTGAGAAAACAAATCCCAAGGACAGAAAACAATCCCAAGGACTCTGGCTTCGGTGTAGAGAGAAAACAATACCCTCGGTGGCTTCCCACCACATTTGAAAGCGGTGTAGAGAGCAACTCCTGATTGAGAAATATCACCTATTTAATTGATACAAATGAATAATGGAGTGGATATCGATTCTCTATGTACATAAAATTTCAGTAAGTAGCGTTAGCGTGTCCCTACAGCAAAATAAACTATACAATTAGCGTGAAAACTACCATAACTGCTACAGCTTCTCAAATTCATTCATGAATCCCCTCCCCTCATCCCTGCTCCCCCGAGCTCCAACCGCCCGCTCACCTTCTCCCTCCCCTCATCCCGCCTCCCCCTCCCCCGTCCCCTTCCTCCCCCGACTCCCCTCCACCTGCCACGTCATGCAGCTCACCACCGTCCCTGTTAGGTCCGCTGACATCATCAGTGACATCATTCCTGGCATCAGCATCTGCCGCTGACGTGGCAGCAGGAGGGCCATCAGCAGCAGGGGGTGGGAGGGCAGCAGCAGCTGACGAGACTGCAGAGTCCAAAGCAGTAAGTGCTGGGGGAGAGGAAAAGGGGGATAGGAAAAGGGGGATAGGAAAAGGGGATAGGAAAAGGGGATAGGAAAAGGGGCAAGGGAATGACAGGTAGAAACAGGAGCAAGGGGAACGGGAGTAAGGGAAAGAGCGGCAGGGAAGACAAGGACAGAAACAGGTGCGGCAAGCAGGTGCTGCCAGCAACGATGCATTTTTAACCAGTGCTCAGTGCCGTCGCCACAACCAAACACCAGTGCTCAGTGCCGTCGCCACAACCAAACACCAGTGCTCAGTGCCGTCGCCACAACCAAACACCAGTGCTCAGTGCCGTCGCCACAACCAAACACCAGTGCTCAGTGCCGTCGCCACAGCCAAACACCAGTGCTCAGTGCCGTCGCCACAACCAAACACCAGGAAAGCAGGTCACCCTTGTCTCTCTGCCAGAGTGACTCTGACACGACACCCAGCCGCATGCATCACCACATCTCTGTTTACCCTGTTATAATCACAGGAGCACCCCGTGCCCTGCTCCTCAGACCTGCCCCAGCACATACTGCCCAGCACAGACTGGGAATTATACCTGTCGGGCTAAGCGCTTGCTAGAGTGTTATCTGCGCCGGAGATCCCTGCCCAGATATTACCTGTTCCAGATATACCCGCCCAGGTGGTACCTGCCCTGGTTGCAGACTGGGCCATGCGTGCTGCAGCAGAGAGCTCCTCCTGATGGGCGTGGAACCAGGACGCCTGAGGGAAGGGGTTGGGGAGAAGAATGGTGTCAGAAGGTGAGCTGCGGTACAAGGAGGTGCAGCAGAGATCTCCTCCTGGTGTGCGTGGAACCAGGACGCCTGAGGGAGGGAGTAGGGAGAGAGAAGGGGGCCGAAGGGGAGGGGATGGCGTGAGGAGAATTGAATGAGGTGCTGCAGCAGAGATCTCCTCCTGGTGCGCGTGGAACTAGGACGCCTGAGGCAGGGAGGATGGGGAAATAAAGAGGGGGTAATGGAGGACCAATAGGGAGGATGGGACGAATAAGGGGTGCAGCAGAAAAAGGTGCAGCCGAGAGCTCCTCCTGGTGCGCGTGGAACCAGGATGCCTGAGGGGAGAGAGGAGGGGGATAAAAGGAGGGCGAGGGGGAGGGGACCACACGAGGGGGATGAGATGAGGTGCAGCAGAGAGGTGCTCCTGGTGTGCGTGGAACTAGGAGGCCTGAAGGAGGGTGTGGAAGGGGGAGAGGACGATGGGGCGATTATTGTGAGTTTTTTCGTGAGCAAAAAGCAACTTATCTTTCATTTGGGTATGCGTCCTGGATCGATGTTACATACTCTGCTGACGATGAGAATTCGGTGGCGGACAAGGCGGAGAGATGAGGTGGCAGGAGCAGCATAGCAGTGGTGAATGCTCATTACAACATGTTTGAGTCAAGAATGGCATACCATGCAGCGGTCGATGCGCCCTGTCCAAGTGCCGCCAGTAGTGCAGCAGCAAGCTCGTCCCTACCATGACCCTACCAAGCTGGTTACTAAGCTAAAAAGGGAATACCATGCAGCGGTCGATGCTAACAAGCGCCCCGTCCATGTGCCGCTGGTAGTGCAGCAGCACGCCGTTCCCAGCCTGGACCATCTAGCGGGTTCTTCTCAGACCATATACCAACGGGCTGGCAGCACATACCATGCAGCGGTCGATGCTAACAAGCGCCCCGTCAATGTGCCGCCGGTAGCGCAGCAGCACGGGCCTCAGGTGACTAGCGTACAGCCGCCCTGCCCCCTGCAGCGTTGTGCGGTTACGTGCGGCGGGGCACGGTTGGTGGATGTTGGAATGGTCAACAGTGGTTAGGGCGTGGTGGCATGATAGCATGGTGTCAGACGGCCGACAACAGTATGTTCAGGAGAACATCGGAAAAAATATGGAAAATACTGAAAGAATATGAGGAGAAAAACGTACAATACCAGGGGAATCACCGGGACAAGAGCAGGAAAGTACCAAGATAGAAACCAGGAGAATGTTAGAAGTGAGGTGTACTGAGGAGGTGAGGCTTGCACAAGAGTTATTTGAGCTAAAGAAGAACCAAGATGAGGAGGTGTGGTAAGGCTAGTGACAGGGCGAGGAAGCAAGCAAGAGGGAGTGGCAGATGGGAAGGTGCAGGAATAAGAAGGTGAGGAAGGAGGGAGGGAAGGAGCGAGGTGCACTTTTGAGGCGCCTCAAAAGCGAGAGGACAGAGGAGAGAGAGGAGTGGGGTTGATTACCGTGGCTGGGCGGGAGGAGGAGGTGGAGGGCAGCTGCAGCCAGAGCAGCAGGAGCAGCTTGATGTGCTGATAGAAGGGTAGCCTGGGGGGGAAAGGGGCGTGGGATGGGAAGAAGAGAAGGTCAGGGTGAGCTAGTGTCAATGCGTACACAGCCAGAGCAAGAGGAGCAGCTTGATGTGCTGATAGAAGGGCAGCCTAGGCGGGAAAGGGGCGTGGGATGGGAAGGGGGCAGTGTAAGCTGGTGCCAGTGCACATGCAGGCAGAGCATCAGGAGCAGCTTGATGTGCTGGTAGAAGGGCAGCGTGGGGGTGAGAGACGGGGGGTACGGAAGGCGAGATGTGCTCAAATGAGGGCTTGATGTGCTGGTAGAAAGGTAGCCTTGAGGGGGGGAGAGGCGGGGACGGGAGGAAGAAGTGGAAGGCACGATGTGGTGGGAACGGAAGACGAGGAGGGCAGAGGATGCTTTTATCAGCGTCAGGTGCGGTGAGTACGAGGCGAGGAAACAGAAGGGCGGGGAGGGGGAGGAGAGGGGGGGAGGGGTGGGGGTGGGAAGGGGGTGCGAGAGTGGTGGAACATTGAATTTCAAATAGCGATTACACATAGAGAGAGGCAGGAAAAAGCGGGGGAGGAGAAAGGGGGAAGGAGGGGGGGGAGGGAAAGGGGGGGTGTTGGGGAGAGAAAAGGACAAGAACCAGGGGAATCAAGAGGGTGATAGGAGTGAGGGAAGAGGTAAAACGAGGTATGGAAGAGGTATGGTCGTATGACTCACCACGATATGATCCTGTCGGTGATTGTCTCCACTACCCGAAAGCAACCGTACACTGCCATGCATGCCATCCATGCCATCATGCCATCATGCCATCATGCCATGCATGCAACCCATGCCATGATGCCATGATGTAGTGCCATGATGTAGTGCCATGTTTGTGAATATGCACAAGGAAAGAAGCCTATTTTTGAGTCGACTCAAAAATAGGAAAGAAGAGTCGCATTTGGCGCCGTGTCATTAAATGTCATGGGAGGTAAGCAGTTGCAACCGCAACTGAAACTGCAACTGAAACTCAAACTGCTACTGCTACTGCAACTGCATGAGAGGGCCACATAAAGGGACACTCACTAGCGCCAGAATTCTCAACACCCCACCACCCTCACCACTCACTGCACCATCCTCACCACTGCACCACCACACCACTCACCCGACCAGTACGCGAGGCATCTGTTGCGGTCCGCCTGAGAGCCCTCCTCAATGGCCTTGAACGAGCGGAAGACTGGAAAGCCCACGCCCACCACTAGACTGGTGGGAACGACAGAAAGGGAACAACAGGGCACGACAGAAAGGGAAACAACAGGGCACGACAGTGAGGGAAACAACAGGGCACGACAGTGAGGGAAACAACAGGGCACGACAGTGAGGGAAACAACAGGGCACGACAGTGAGGGAAATAACAGGGCACGACAGTGAGGGAAATAACGGGGACAAGAGGGGTAACGAAAAAACAAAGGCGAAAAGTTGGAGGAGGGGAGAGAGGCGGGCCAAGAGGGGAGAGAGGCGGGCCAAGAGGGGAGATGATGATTGACGGCACAAGGAGGGAAATCGAAGGAGGCGAACTGAAAGGAGGAGAAGTGGGGGAGGGGCGTGGAAGGAGGAGAAGGGAGGAGGAAGAGAAAGGAGATTCATACTTGGCAGCTCGGATGACGATCGACGATGAGCTGGCGGCCAGGAGAATCTGCAGGCCCACCTGCAGGGGGAGAAGGAGGGACGAGGGAAAGGGAGGAGAGGGCAGCACAGGAGGAGAGATTCATACTTGGCAGCTCAGATGACGATGGACGATGAGCTTGCTGCTAGGAGAATCTGCAGGCCCACCTGCAGGGGGAGAAGGAGGGACGAGGGAAAGCGAGGAGAGGGCAGCACAGGAGGAGAGATTCATACTTGGCAGCTCGGATGACGATCGACGATGAGCTGGCGGCCAGGAGGATCTGAAGCCCCACCTAAAAGGGGAGAGGGAGGGCGGAGGCAAAAAGGGGAGCGGAAGGGAGGAGAGGAGGGCTCAAGAGGCTCGGATGACGATGGACGATGAGCTGGCGCCCAGGAGGATCTGAAGTCCCACCTGAGGGGCGAGAGGGAGGGACGAGGGTAAGGGCGGTGAGGGCGGTGAGGGAGTTGAGGGCGACAAAGGAGGACGTCTTACCCCCCTGACTGCACCCTACCCCAGCTTCGTACCCCCCTGCACCCTACCCGTACGGCTTACCCCCCCCCCTTGCAGCGGTACACCCGAGCTGAACAATGCCATCGGCGCGCTTCTGTCCATGGCCCAGCCCGTAGCCCTACCCGTACCCATGCCGCTTACTCCCCCTCGCCCTGCTCGAACGTCTTACCCAACCTCCTTGCAGCGGTGAACCTGAGCTGAACAAGGCCATCGGCGCGCTGCTAGCCTTACGGAGGGTTGCAGCTGGCGTCACCCTATCCTCTGCACCCTACCCTTGCCTCTTATCCCCTTGCTCCCTACCACTTACACCCGGCACCCCACCCGTACGTCTTACCCCTCCTCCTTGCAGCGGTACACCCGAGCTGAACAGGGCCATCGGCGCGCTGCTGGCTAAGGGAGTGTCACTGTTAGTGTGAGGGAGTCTCGCTGCTGCTTGCGTCAGGGACTGCAGCTTCTGGCCTTAAGGAGTGTCGCTGTAAGAGCCAGGAGCTGTTGCTTCTCGCGTCAAACCAAGACTATAGCCTTAGCTGTAAACCCCTATAATCGCTATTCCCATGCTACAAATCAGTAAAGGACAGGCATGGCAGATCAGTAGCGGAATAAACGAGCGAGCCTGCAAGTAGCGTCATGCACAAGGAAGCCATGGTGTGATGTGGAACCTCGGGAACTGCAGCTTCTCGGGTACAGTAACGCGGATTTGCATTGATTGGAATTTGGAATTCTGCATTCGCGCTATAAAGCAACTCTAGGGAACTTCTTAGTTACACATGTTTGAAAGCCGCTGAGGGTACATTAGAAACAGAATCCAATATAATCCATACAGATCATATTTTAGAAGACCCATGTAGCATTCTTACTAGCGTCTATGCGTTATTACGTGTGGCATTATTCAATTGCATATAGAGACTGTTTGGAATCCTACAACAGACCATCCCCTCCCAAACACAGCTCGTTGCCACAACTTATGTTTTTCAGAAGATGCACGAAGGCCATGCTTTCTGGTGTGAGCATTCAATCTCCAAGCCCCATGCTCTTTTCTCAGCTCCACCGCCTGCAGAGGAGCTCATTCAGCCCTATCATCCCTCCAGTCAGCTCCCCCTCTCCAACTCCCCCACACCCCTCCTCTCGTAACCTCCTCACATCCATCCACCCACCACCTCCACTCATCTAACTCTCCCTCCTCTCACTCCCCCTGCTACCCCTCCTCTCCCTCGCCCGTCCTGCACCCACAGCAGTCCCAGCATCATTTCGTTCCACGAGTCCGGCACCCCCGGCAAGCAGTAGTGCCCGCAGTCTATGTTACCCCCGCCCGAATGCTCCCCGGGGTGCCCGTCCCACCGCGTCAACGACATCCCAAAAATGTCCAGAAGCATCAGCGGCGCGCCATGCCCGCGCTTCGCCCGGCGCGCTTCGTACCGCCGCGCCACGTCGGCGAGAAGAATGTTGTACTTTGCCTCGGGGTAATCCTTGGAAAGCGCATCCTCCGCACTAACCGGCTGCGTGGCCGAACAGCTGCCGTGGAACCCATGCGTGGGCGGCACGAGCGTCAGAACTACCTGCTTGCCGGTACTGCTAACGTCCTCGAACGGGCGGAGGACGGAGAAAAGCGCGGTTTGGTACGCGTCAAATAGCGGCAAGTCGGTGTTCGGGCTCGCGAAGTGGATGTTCTTGCCTTGGATGCGCACCGATGACCACCATTGCCCCGCGCTTATAACGAATGTGTCGTGTTCGTTATAGTGCCGAAACCACCAGTCGTCGGGATTCTCCAGGTCGAGCTCGCCGCCCGTGTTAAACACGTGCTCGTCGATTAGAGTGAGGTTCACGAGGTAGTGACTCCAATAGAACGCCACCGTGGCGTTACAACTCGGCCAGTGGTACACTTGCGCGTACGGATGGCTGCCCAGGACCTCGGGTTCGCCTTGCGTACCGAACATGATACACGCGAGCGAGTTGAAATGGTTGCGTACGATCGAGTCCCCCACGTAAGCGACGTTCCTGTTCCGCATCAGCTCGCACGCGCTCTTCGCCGTCAGTTGCGGCATCGCGTCGCAGCCGCCGCCTTCCGTCGCATTATCGCGAGTCGGTCGCCACCGCAGTTTTTGGTACCCTGTATCCGGCCGCCCGTGCGCGTCGCACTGCGTTGCAGCGTGAATAAACGGGCAGTCAAGACTGGAATACAGCGGCCGGTTAGCATCCGCCTCCCACATCCCGTCGCTGATGTCGCACGTCGTCGAAACGTCGCCAGCCCCCGCCGCTGCACCAGCCGCGTTGTCGCTTGCCTCCGCGGCGAGCGCGGAAATAACGAGGGAGCGGGAAGCGGGCGACGCGCGGGACTCGAGCGAGCTGGCGGAAGCCGCAGCCGGGGAATTGGGGGCTTTTGGGGAATTGGAAGCGACAGGTTGTGAGGAGCCGCGATCATTGGCGACGCCGCTGCGACTAACAGCGACTGCGCTGCGACTTTCAGCGTGCATGCCGTCGTCGACGTAAATCTCGACCGCGCCGATGGCGGATTCCGGTTGCTCGATAATGATGGTGCCGGATAGGAGCGTCTCCTGCTCCCGCACGCCCAGCTCGTGCAATCCTCTACTGCGCGACGGCGCGGCGTAACGTGGATCTGCGGGGCGCGGAGTCGGCATCTCTCCTAGTTTTCTGCCGCGGGGGCTGTCGGTGGCTGGTCGACTTATCGTGAAACTGGCAGCGTGTGATTTTAGGGCGAGCACGATGACGACGAGGAGAGTCGCGATTGGTGCGTGACGTGTTGCATGGTGTGGAACACGATGCGGTCTGATTGCGGTCATTGTGACGGTGCCGTACCGCCTACTAGCAGTAGCAGGAGTGATTGGTTAACCGGAATAAGCTACCGAAGAGGAACAAGCTACGAATAGCACAGTACGTAAAGATAATCGAACAAGCTCTGGGAGATGGAAGACAGAACCTGGAAATCTGGGTAAATTGTCGGGAGGAGCTCTGGAGCACGAGGAGTTGCTGCTGGGATAGAAGCGTGGTGTCTCGAAGGGTCGCTGAAGTGAAATCATGTCAGAATGGGAGTGAACTAAACCATGCGCGGTGAAATGAAGATTAACGAGTGAAAGAGGGAGAGTAGCTCCATACTCCAAATTTTGCCCATGGCGAAAAGCGACATTGGGCTTCAATTCCCCCAAAACCAGCTGGCGGTGCTTGCGAGAACGGCGACAATAAGCGAAATCTAGGAGCGAGTAATCCTGATTGGTCAGGTGAAGTGGCCAGCAAGTACTTAGATGGATGAGACGAGGCGCTGAATCCGTTACCAGCTTTGGTTGCGGCAGTTGTCGACCTCGTTTTCGCCAAGTCGCCACGGGGTGTGGCGAAATTTGCCATCGAGAGAGGCGAGCAACCTGATGAGCTCTCATGGCACACAGCTGTGCATGTGGGGGGAAGTGTGGCGGCGAGGCGCATGGGTCAGCCTCACATCCATGGGGGTAGTGTTATGAGTTGTAAAAGAGAGTGCGCAGGTAAACGAATAACGAAGCTGTGTGTTACGGGTGCAATGAATCGAGGTAGCGAGAATTGCACTAAGGTGTCAAACGAGTACAAAATGTGAGCGAAGGCATGAGCGAGTATTTATACGCGAAACATGCAAAACGGTAACGCGGTGCGTGCGAACTTGCTAGTGCTACGCTGGAGCGAGGCTCGGGCTAGTCCCGAAGCGTAGGCCGACACGGCCATGCCAGCAGTGCGAGGTTTGGCAAAACAGTGCGCGCGAAGTCGGCGAAGTTCCGTTAGCAGTAACGGGCGAACAGTCGGTTGTTGCTGTACGCGATGTAGTCGGCTCCGTAAGGAATGCCTGAGAAAATTCCTTACACTACCCCCCCCCCCTTAAGAAGCCCCCCCGCTACGCGAGTGCGTGTATATCGCGGAATCCCCGGCTTCTCAAGTACACTTGCAGGGCAGGGTGATTTTCGATGTTGCTCAGGGGCACCCAGCTATCTTCAGTTGGCGTGCGGTCTTTCCAGCGAACGAGGAATTCAATCCTCCTGATTCCCGTGGGGTGGCGGATCCGATGGCTCAAAAATTTTTCGGGCTCGATGATCGGCTCTGATGCAGGGCGAGTCATTGATTGTGGCCGGTGACGCGGCAGTTGACTCGTGGTCGGGATGTATGGGCGAAGTAGGCTGACGTGGAACGAAGGGCTGATGTACCAGTCAATTGGCAACAGTAGGTGCGCGGTGACGGGTGTGATCATGTGGCTGATTTGGAATGGTCCACAGTAGCGCGGTCGTAATTTTGGTACGTCGGGCAGTCGCAGATTTTGCGTGTCGAGTAGCACGTAATCTCCAGATTGATACGTGACGGGGCGGCGGTGGCGATCAGCGTTGCGCTTAGCGATGACGTTGGCCTTTTTTATTGCTTCGGCGGCTCTGGCGCGGGCAGCTTGCAGGATTTCGGCGAATTGTTGTGCGCGTGGCGTTGGGTTGTCCGGACTCGGCGTCATGGGCACTGTGGGGTTCTGCCCATAGTTCAGGTAGAACGGGGACTGCTGCGTCGTGGCTGATGTGGCGTTGTTGTACGCGAACTCGATCAGCGGCAGCTGCTGCTCCCAGGTCGTGGGGTCGTCGCACGTGGCACGAATCAACTGCTCCATCGTCTGATTCGTCCGCTCCGTTTGGCCGTCGGTCTCGGGGTGGTACGACGAACTGAACTGTAGCCTGGTCCCGAACTGCTCCCAGAGGTTCTTCCAGAAGTTGCTGGTAAACTTCGTGTCCCTGTCGCTGATAATTGCTGCTGGTATCCCGTGCAGGCGAACAACGGCTGCGATGAACAGGCGAGCGGTCTCTTCGGCTGAGATCGACTTTTTGCACGCAGCGAAGTGTGCCATCTTCGTCAACCTATCCACGACGACCATCACCGCGTCGTTACCCCCAGGGTTCGAAGGTAACCCTGTGACGAAGTCCATGGTTACTTGCTGCCAGGCGCGTTCGGGCGGTGGGATCGGCTGCAATTGACCCGCCTTCCGCTTCCTTGAACTCTTCATCACCTGACACGTCGGGCACGAGCCCACGTGCTGCTGTACGTCGGTCAACAGCTCCGGCCAGTAATAGTACCGCTGCAGTTGCTGTCGTGTTTTTTCTACCCCGAAATGTCCCGAGGTAATCCCGTCGTGTGCCTCCTGCAGCAGCAGCTCCCTCAGTAGTGAGTACGCGGGTACCCAAATGCGGTTGGTGCCTGTTTTTACGTAATAAACTCCTTTTGCTTCTGCCAGTTGCTGTGAATTTCCGGTCGTGAAAAATGGGTCGGTGCGGTATCCGTGGGTGAATAGGCCAGTTAAAAGCGGGTTGGTCTGGGCGAGTAGGATGGCGTGGAGTTGGGCGGTGGGGCGGGTGAGAGCGTCGGCGATGTTGGATGCTCCCTTTTTGTACGTGACGGTGTAGTGAAAATTGGACTCGAGATAGTCCAACCAGCGAATCTGTCGTGGGTTGAGATTCGGTTGGGCGCGAAGGTACTGTAGCGAGCGGTGGTCTGTCCGTACTGTCACGTCGGCACCAGTCAGGTAACATCGCCAAACTTTGAACGCGTGCACGATCGCTAGCATCTCGCGGTCGTGTATCGGGTAGTTACGTTCGGGCGGGTGTAACTTGCGGGACTCGTACGCGATTGGCTGGAGGCCATTCCCGAAATCCTGCAACAGTACTGCTCCCACAGCGATGTCACTTGCGTCGGTGACGAGCTCGAACGGACGGTGGGGATCTGCAATGTGAAGGACGGGCGGGGAGCACAAAATATTTTTGAGGGCCGAGAAGGCAGCTTGCTCTTTCTCCCCCCACGTGTACTCAACCCCCTTCCTCAGCAGGTCAGTCAACGGGGCAGTCAGTTTCGCCATGTCGGGGACGAACCGGCGCACGTAGTTGACAAACCCCAGGAAACTCTGCAACTCGGTCAAGTTGGTCGGCGCGTGCCAAGCCTGAATCGTCGCAATTTTCTTCGGGTCTATTTCCACTCCTGCAGCTGAAATAACATGTCCCAAAAACTCCAGGCGGTCCTGTAAAAACTCACACTTAGATGCTTTGGTCAGTAGGCGGTTCTCACTCAGGATTTTAAAAACTGCTTCGATGTCTTGTAAGTGCTGTTCTCTGCCAGGGCTGTAAATCAGTATGTCGTCCAGATAAACGATGACGCACTTATCTAAAAGCGGGCGGAATGCTTCGTTCATGGTCATTTGGAAAGTGGCGGGGGCGTTGGTCAGTCCGAATGGCATGACGGTGTATTCGAAGGATCCGTAGCGTGTTCGGAATGCGGTTTTAGGGCAGTCGGGTGGGTTGACGCGGATTTGGTGGTAGCCTCCTCGGAGGTCGATTTTCGAGAAAACCCGGGCTGTGCGCAGTTGGTCGATCAGTTCGTCGGCTCGTGGGATGGGGTAACGGGATTTGATGGTAACCCTGTTCAGTGCCCTGTAGTCGATGCACATGCGAAAACCCCCGTCCTTTTTCGGTGTGAACAGTATTGGTGCGGCGAAAGGCGACGAACTAGGGCGAATGAATTCCTTTTCTAGCAGGTAATCGAGCTGCTTCCTTAGTTCGTCTAGTTCGGGTTGGGTCAGTCGGAACTGTCGCTGTACTGTTGGCTGTGCCCCCGGTTCCAGTTCTATCCTGTGATCGTGCGGTCGCTGAGGTGGCAGTCCCGTCGGCAGGTCATCCGGGAAAATGTCACTGTACTGTTGTAACAGTGCCGCCAGGTCACTCGGTACGTCGGTCAGCAGTTTCTGTAAATCGCCTCCCTTGTCTGCTGCCTCGGCTTCCCGAATGTCAACCGCGTACACGTCGGCTCCGGCCGCAACAGCGCGTTTCATCGTGATCGCGTTGACACGCACCGACGAAGACTCAGGCGAGCCCCAGCGAGGTAAGGCGATGCTGTTACCGTTCACTCGCACAGTGCAGTCACCCGTCGTCCAGTCAATTCGCGGGTTGTGTCGTCGCAGCCAATCACGCCCGAGTAAAATGTCGGTTCCGTCGAGGGTCGTTGCGAGCATTTCCTGACTAAACGTGAAGTTACCCCCGCATCGAATCCGAACTCGGTCTACGCGTTCCCGTATTGCCAGCGGCGTGCCGTCTACCAGTCGTGCGTCGATCTCAGGTAAGCATCGGTCCAGTGGCAGTCGCAGTTTTCGTGCTGTAGCAGTGTTAATGAGGCTGTGGCTGGCTCCCCCATCTACGAAGATTTTAACTAAGTCCGTCCCAATTTTCCCACTGAGCAGTATAGGGCTATCTACCGTGGTACCCTCCTTATTCGGCCGGGTGTGGTCGATTGCGTGAACCGGCACAATCACTCGGTGAGGGTCGGTTGGGTCGGGCGAGCGGCGTGACCTGTCAGTAGAGGGCCCGTCTGCTACTGACTTCCAGCGTTTCCCTGCTGCTTGGTCTGTGTCTGCTGCTCAGCTTCCCCCTTTCCCTTAGCGTTTTCCGGGCATTCGCTCTTGCGATGTCCCGGCCGATTGCACGCAAAGCAGCGCCCTTTGAACGGTGCGGCAGCGGCATTTGCGGCGACGGCGCGTATCGTGGCGCTCTCGTTCGTCCCACGAGGCCGATGTCCCCAGGTGTTGTTTCCGTAGGACCCCGGTCTCGGTCGGCGAAAGAAGTCGAGCTTCTCCGCCATAGCGAGAATT